AGGGTAGGGAAATGGTTGGTTATGAGTATAACCATAGTTACTACTCATCTCATGTGAAAATTTGTTTCTTGCAAAAAGAATTCAAAACAAAACCATGTATATATATATAAATATTTTAGTATTTTCACAAAAACATAAGTGATATGGTGGTTAAGGTGTTGAAGGAGTAAAATGGTTTTCACAAATACCATGTATATAAATATTTTTGGGTTTCATATCGGGATATTATCGGGATATTATCGATAATATCTCGATATATTGCCCAAATCATTCATAAAAATGTTGAAAATATCTTCCCGATATTATCGGGATAATATCGATATATTGACGATAACACTATGGTTAGTTGTTAAAATATTGGACCCCCAAAAATCAGATATTATCGGGATATTATCGATATTTAATACCTTGATTGCGAAACATAATTGGGGGAAGTCCTCAGCCTGACATTTTTAAAATTTGGGAATTCTCGTACTCGCTCGCAATTTTTCTCTAAAATCTCCTCCGTTAAGGCCGGGACATGAGGGGAATATTTGGCATCCTTAGATTCCTTAGCTAGGGCATTTGTTACCAAGAAAAGAATCACATTCGAAGGGTGTAAATGATTTTCAATTCAATTGATTTTTTTTCTGCCACCAATTAAGGACATGCACTAATCTTCCTTAACTAGGAGATTTTCAAAGGACCTAAATGATTTTCAATTCAATTAATTTTTTTCAAGTATGACATTTGAGATGAGATTTAAACTATGAACAAGTTCGGATCATGAGACAACATTAAAGAAATATCAAGATAAACTAATTGAATTGGTAACGTGAAGTTTCTAACAATCAAGTCAAAACCTATAATAGGAGTTGCTCAAGAAGTACATCAAGATCAAGTATGATCTTAGCCGATCTTTAATTCCAAAGTCCAAGCTAGATTGGAACATGGAAACAAAAAAGAGAGGAAAAACATAGACTATAGCTAACAAGCAATTAACAAGAGTACATGTGAATTAAAATTCATGAATTTTCTCAATCCAACCCCCACCCCCCCCGGCGCCCCCCAAAAAAAAAAAAAAAAAAAAAAATCTCGCCCGTATTAATTGGCAATCCTAGTTTTATTAGCTTGTGGGCCCTCTGATGGTGGGCCTGGGCCCTGCGACGCTTGAGGTGCTTCTGCATTATTATCTGCAGATACTGCTGCGGTGGCGGTGGGTGCTTGTCTATTTTTTCGTGATGTAAATATGAACTTACCCCAAGTAAAAATCTCCATACCCAACGCAATGACCGCAAATACAGAAAGGACCCCGATGTAAGCCCATAGCCAGGTTTTATCTGGCTTCAAAATGGCAATGCCATTGAATATGTTCACTGAGATCGCAGCCAGCAGAGCATACCCTAGAAAATGATGGTACATGTCCCAGTACTTGCGGTAGTCATCACTTGGGGTGGGCTTTAAACGCAAGGCAAGCATCTACAATACATAAAACCATGTCAAGCTTCACCACCACGACGAATATTTTGTACTGAACAACGTTACAGAGATGATATGTGTCAAGAAATAAAATATTAAGATTAAACTTTAAACACATGTCATCTTTTAATTAAATTATTCTGTCATTCAGCACTGTCACGTGGTATGAACAGTTTTACGTGCACAAAAAAGATGCTAGGTCATGATGTGTCCAACGGATTGAAGAAGCAATAAAAAAGAGAGAGAGAGAGAGAGAGAGGAGTGGTAATTATACTTACTTGTAATGTGGTGAATGCAAATATGAACATGGCGAGAATTCGGTGCGTGGGGAAGCTATAGTGTCTGGAAGCACGTCCAAGCCATAGCCCGATTGCCCAACCAGCTGTGCCAAGGCTGTAACCAACAATCTGGCAGGAGACATGAAGGACATACCATTTTTGACAATGAAAAGGATATCTTCTGTAGTACCTTGCTATAATCACTCCCAATGGCAACAGTGTTCCCCACCCCACAATATTCAGAATCCCGTGCACCTATTACCAAGCAAACAAGAAGTTGTTGAAAAAAAAAAAAAAAATTAGTAAAACGGTGAATGATCTCAGTCTAAGTTGGCATGTCTTACCTTTCTGAGGTGGTGCCGGCGATGTCCTATGCTAATACCTCGGCCAGAGTTCAAGTTCAGAGTTTCTGTGCTGTCCACATTCTGGAGAGCAGTGGAATGCATCTTAGGCTCCAGATGAACATCATCAGCTTCAAACCCAACTTGCCACAAATGGTTCAGCTTTGAAATGTTATATGCAGCTGGATCAGGAGGCAAAATTAGGGTTGCAAATATTGACATGTATTTATCAGCCAGCACATCACCTTTCATGGTTTTGACGATGACATCATCAAAATCTTGTGAAGGCTGCAGCCTACAACCCAGCCTTGTATCACTGGTGATGTTGTACTTCCTGACTGCCAAAGTCCCATTGGGCTGTGAAATGCCTATAATAGCCCTGGTCCCGACCATCTTCGGCCGGTGTGGACCTGGATTCACACCCCAGGCTAGCCATTTTGCTCTGTGATCACCAGAAATTTTAATGCTGAACAAGATGTCAATTTGGTTGTTGCTGTGAATGTTCCACCCAAATTCAGCTCCCAGAGTGATTAGTTTCTTGCAGTTGGTAATGTTCATGGGATTGATGGGGCTGCAATTGGAATATTGCTCAGAAATTGTGAAGAGAGAGGAGGAAATGGTCAATGTCATGAGAATTACGGATTTGGTAGCGCCCAACATGTCTGACAGATGTACTAATTTCAGAGTTTCAGTTTATGGTATGTACTTAGGTTGTTGTGAGATGTACGCATGTTTATTTTTTGTTTCTTTTGTATTAAAATATTGGATAAGATTAAGGAAGAAGTTAAGTATAGTTTTTTAAATTTACTCACTTTTTACAGCTTGTTGGGTCACATCTCACATGGTGCTTTTTATATGGGAGAAATAGATATCTTCATAAGCAGCCCAGCCGCTGCTGGCTTTAGGAAAAAGACAGGTTGTGTATAAATCAGATTCCTCATTCTCCAGTGAAAGTGAAACTATATACTTCTTCTTGTTGTTGCTTGCCAAATGCTTCAAGAAATATTCTTGTGAGGTCTTCATGGTGAAGTTTGGATGAAATAAAACCCAAGAAGGGAATAGTTAATGAAAATGTTGTGCAAAGTGCAAGTGGAAATTTTTAATTATTAAGGATATAGCACGTGGTTGGTGTACCATCCAATACACATATGACATGATTATTTTCTAACTTACTACATTGCTTTTTATGACATGTGACTCGCTGCATTAGAAATATTCCACATGTTGTACGTCTATTATATGGTACACCAGCCACGTGATATATCCAGAACATCAAAAAATTACTTAGTTCTAGTGATTAATAGCTAACCACAACACGACAAGTGTATATACAGAGCCTTCCTAGCTAGTTTAATTAACATTAATTAATTTGCCAAAAGTTGGAGCCATCCAGTCGTGATTATGTGAACAAATATATAAAAAAGTATATATAGAGCTAGGGACACCATAAGGTGTTGTCTTCTATGCTTTTACCATGCAAGTTCGAGAACATAAGATAAAGAAAATCAAATAAGTGGAGCTCGTGTTTCCTGTGTTTCCCAATATATTCTTGACCCAACGGACTAAGAAATTCTCTTCGCCTTTGGTTTACACCCTTCAACTTTTCTTTCTCTCCCAAGGTTTTATGACGCCAGTGTTTAATTACTTTGGTTATTTTTATATAATACATAATATATGACATGTTCATGTGATGTATT